CCAATCAAGATCCAGTAGCCAACCCCCCTCCCTGGAACCCTCTGCGGAGGGGACAGGGGGCTGGTGACGCTTGGAAGGGCCCCCCGAGATGCGGTGGGCAAGAGCGTGGGATGCCGCAGCCGTATGCTGCAGGTCGGCTGCTTCTTCCCCTCCCTCCGGGTCCGAGAAGATGGAGGCCGGAAAATCGTTGTTGTGTTTGGACGCGCTCAAGGTGACGCATTTTTTCCACAGACCGGGGATTGTGCGTGACGAAAAGCGGTGCTTGAATTGCTTTTGCGGACAAGCACAACAAAAAAAGATATTCGTATGCGTGGAATTCCGGGGGGTTGAACGGCTTTCCCTAGTTCAAACCAACCGAGGGCATTTGCATGGGTTGTGGCGCAGCCCAATTGCAATCGTGGTTTCACTTTCGCGTGTGACGGACCTCACAAAATTGAACGCCACACGTTTTGCAGGCTTTGCCGGAGCCCTAGTCTGCGTTTTGTTGGAGAAAGAGGGGGGGTTGGGTGGCATCAGTCGTGTGTCTTGCCAGCATCACCGCCGCGTTCGACATGCCTCACATATTTTGGGCAGCACGGCGGGACCCGTTTGCAGAAAGACGTGGGGGCGGCAGGGGGTATGTCAGTTAGTCTTCGCTGTGAAACGCCCTCGCCAATCGTAGCCGGCGTAAAACCGCCATAACCCATAAGTGCCCGCATGCACTCCCTCAGCTTGGTTACGAAAGCTCATGCACGGTTGCGTCAACAAAATTTATTGGCACACGTGTCCCGCGCTTGTGGTTTTGTGGCTTGGGCAATGCACCCTCGATCGCCGCAAGGCCGTGCCCAGCACCACCGGCATTGCCACCTTGAGGGAAGCGGTGCGGCGCGATGGCGAGTCCGCCGTCGCTGGTTTGGGCATTGCTTGTCGTGCAACAGTTGCGGCACAGCTAGCCCCCCCCAAGCCTGGACACAGTTGTGTTTGATGTGGAATAGTGGGTTATCATGCTCCAGAAGTTGCGGCTTCCGCTGCCACTGGCCCCCAAAGGACCATGCTTGCGGAGGCCTGTTGGATGAACTCGTGGAAAACGGCTCCATTTGCGCCTACGTCGGGTAGTACGCATATGCAAGCCGGTAGCAACAAATGTGGCTCCACGGGATTTGGCTCGCGACGTGCCGGCGGCGGATTGTGTTCAACCCCAAACCCGGCAAGCCCAATCGGATGTGACGCCCCGATCACGCCGTGGAAATACCAAACATGCCCCGAGCTCCAGTGAGCCAGGCTCTGCAAGCTCGTCGTGTTCGGTGCCCGCGTCATCCCCATCCAATTTCAGGAGGGCTTGGCGTTGCACACGTGAAATCACACGTGGTTGTTGGGAGGTCATGGCTGGACATCGCACGCGACCCGCACTGCTGATTGTCAAGGACGGGTCCATAGAACCTACGCTCCCATGTGACGCCTTCAGCAGCAAGCGGCTGAGCTCCGGCCTTGCATCACGACTGCTGCTGCAGCGCGGGTTCTCACGCCCACCACGTTCCGGAAAACGACGATTTGCCATGAACCTTGACGCTTGAAATCACGAGCTTTTGCACCCCCCCCCCATGGTAGGTGGCATGCTTGTGTATTTCAGCCACCCGCAGCCACGTGGCACATCAGCAGAGGAACGAGAGTGGCGCCGCAGCAAATCGTACCTCCGTTGCTCATGGCCCCATACACGAGCGGGTCCAACCTGAGCCGATGCTCCGCTCCAACGTTGGGGGCGGCAATGTGGCCCCATGAAAGGCGCTGCAGAGCCCAGACGTATTCTACGATCTGAGCCTGCCTGGCAAACAAGTGCTGGTGCCGAAGGGGTGGCTGCTGGCGAGGGCAGGCGCAAGAGGGGTTTTAGTGGCAAATTAGTTTTCCTGTTGTTTTTTTTTGCCGGCCGTTCCCGCCTGCATGTTGTATGTCCCCCTCCAGACCGTACTCGGCCCCAAGCTGTGCCTTGTGCCTCATGGGCGGGCAAGTAGACGTCGTCGCCAACGGGCTTGCTCTATGGCATGGCTGCAGGCGGTTGACGCTACCATCGTCAGCCCCATCACCCGGGCTGGCGAGGCGCAGCCACGAGCTGACGTGCAACCCGGGAAGGCCCTTGACGCTTCTGCCCGACGCAAACGGCGCCAGACGTACCCCGAGCTNNCCGGCGCTGCCGCTTGGTGGTGGTCAGGCTTTCGCTTTCGCTTTCGCCCTTTCGAGTCTCAGTGAAACCACGTGAAGCTATCTCTCTGTTTGACACCTCACTGAGACCTTATACGGTCCTATACGGGCATGGGGAACGTTGGTCAGGGTTGTTGGCAATTGCCGTGCAGCGCACTTTTGCCGCGACCCTCCTTGAGCTCCCACTTGCCGGCGAGTGGAACCTCGCTTGGGACGCGCCCGAGCTGCACGAGGTCCTCCCCGACGTGCGTCGGCAGCTCTCCATACCTGCGAGCCGCCAGGGACCGCACTAAGGTAGTTACTGGGACCGGGCTTTGTCATGCAGTCGGAAAAAAAAACAGACAGGTATGGCGTGCGTTTGCCAACATGTCTGCCAGGGGCCATCGCAGCGGCATGCGGGAACCCGCCAGCGAGTAACACGCGCTCACGATACTAAGCCTTGCGGGTAGAGGCCGCAGGCATCCCCCGTTCGCATGGGGCAGTCTTGCCACCCCTCTGCTTGCAAAAGCTCGCATGTTTTCGCCGCATCACGAACACAAGACACGTCCCCGCTGCGTCCTTCAACTGTTACAATGTAACAGTGGGCCCCGCCACGCGAACCTAGAGGAACGTTTGCAAATCATCAAATCATGGTCGGGCGCTTGCCCACATGGTCCCGCAGGCCGCCGGGGCAGCTCACGGAGCTGGAACTCGCTATTGCTTGCCCCCCGTGGGGAGACTGTGCGTGAAATACGTGGATTCACGCCCAGACCACCACGTGCAATGGGGCCCTGATCAGCACATTCAGCGCCTCGCCCACAATCCAATTGCGGCCCTCCACCTCGCGCCGCCTGGTTGGCACGATTGGTATGGAGAACACCATACCCAAGGCGACACCCAGGGCAATGCTTGCAAGGCCAGACCCAAGTTCCCTGCGCCGCTTGCAACTCCATTGCCGTCAGTTCAGGGTGCGGCTTGTTGGACCGCTGCAACGCCAAACCAGTGTCGCCTGCCTCTGTGTTTCAGTGCCCACGCCTAACCCTGTCTGAAACACGCTGTTTCCTTCTACCCGGAGCAACGCCCTCCCTCCAAGGAACCCTATGGCCCCCTTGTCTGATTTTGGTTGCAAAAGGGCCAGCTTGCTGGGCACACTGCGGGCTATGCTTCGGGTCTTCTCGTCCACTACTTGCGTAAGACTTTCGGGATTGATTTGGCAACAAGCAACGGTCGCGTTTCAGATACGGAGTCTTGCGTTGCCTAATGCTACCGTCTCGGTAAAAACCCTTCTGCCTGCCCGCCTCCGCCGCATCGTGACTACCAGGTCGGGGTCCACACATGCGGGACACGGCCAGAGCTAGACGCGAGCAACGACTGCAGCAGGCCATCTAGGCTTCCCAGGTCGGGCACCCATGCAGCAGCTGGCCTTCATCCCGGGTGTGGAGGACATCCAGATCATGGCTCATGATCAGCACGATGAAATATGGAATTTGCAAATTTCAGATTTTACAATGAATCAAAAGCGCGGCCCACCACAAAAATCACAACCATGACAACACAGTCGGTTCCTCCGCATATGCCTCACACGCGCCCATGATCCTGAAGAAGCCGGGTTGGATGCAGGACTTTGCGACGGCTTCGTACGAAAACTCCAGCCTCTTTTCCTTTTTTTGGGTGGAATTCGATTGAAATTGGGCCTTCAACCAGCCCGTGCATGCAAACACATCTGGGTTTATGGCTCGTGTCATACCATGCCCGAAACTCACACCCAAGGGTCGACTCATAAAGAGGATGCCCCTTTTCAAAACCCGTGAAGGCTAGGGGGATGCAGTCCAACTTGGTTACGGGCGACTGGCTGATAATTTCGGGTTCTTTTCAGGGGTCCTTGTGGATCGGTGGGCAAATTACATTAACAGATACACGATTTCCTTTTGTAAAATCCCAGTATATCTCAGTATTTGTTTGTGTTTGTTTGTAGTTTCCTTGCAATTTTCACAAACCGTATGAACACATGAGGGAATTGTAGCAAGTGCCCAAGGGTTAGGGAGGACAGGCAGGTTGTTTTGCATTTGACGCGCATGGAGTGGCATCCTGAATGACATGATCCCTTATTTGGCGTTCACGTGTTCATGAGCGTTAACGGCATGGCTCCTGAAGGCGGGAGGGTTTGATCATTTCGTACGCTTACCAGAACTTCGTGAATCATGTGTCCAGTTTTGGGCCATAGCACGTTCGCACATAGATACATGGCTTCAGGTGTGCAAGCATGCAACGTCGGCAACGCATCGTTCTGTGAATGAGTTCCGGCACTCTGGCTGACAGGCACGGCTTTCCTCAAAGCTACAAATGCGCATCTCATGTTTCGACCGTGCAAGGGAAATGAAGCATGCTCCTGCCCCCAGGTATGAATCCTTGCATTTATTCGCATTGTTTTCAGGGCATTGTATGTACTGATCAAGATTTCGATTATCTTATCAAGGTCTTGTAGGGGGACTCTTCTAATTTTGATGAGGACGATTCCTATGAATCTAGTGATCTAGTTTCATGCTTCCGCTTACTACTCTCCAAGGTTCGCCCTACATCGACCTCGGCTTATCCTTGAATACTTTTAATTAGGGGGAACCTTGGGGGTAGATGGGGGACCCATGACATTTTGGGAATGTAGAGGAAGTCTTGCCTCTGCGTGGGCCAGCAATTGTTGTTGCCAAAGTTGCGATCCTTTTACGGCCCGATATGTGTTGGGTAATCGGTGGTTTCCTTGGCCATTTTACTTTCGGATTCTTTTTGGAGCCATCATGCGTACCTGGAATCGCAGGACATGGCATTCCGAGGCGCAACTATTTTGCGAGATGTTGGCTGACATGCGTTTTGACTTCTCAGGCGGCAACCCCTTTGCAAATCTTTTGAAAGAGTTGTTAGATGGGGCGCCGTCAGGGCCCGCATACCACAACATGGATTTCTACAGTTTTGCCAAGTTAATGCGTGAACTGTCGATGGACATGGCGGAAACACGGTGCAACAAGACGTCGTGGGGCGTTGCAGCTACAGATCTTTTTGTGGACATCGAGGAGGCTTTGATGGAACATTGCCTTGGTTTGGCACCTTCTGCGAAGGCATCCTTAGCCAGTCCTTTGGCAGTCCGGCCAGTTGCAGATGACAGCGGTGAAATCTTGACAGACTTGGGCAGGGTAGAGGATAATGAGCAGATAGCAGCTCAGCGGGCCTACCACTTGCTGCTTGTGAACTTGCCCTTAGGGGTCTATGTGCGAAATTCTCCACATCTGTACGAGATGTTAGCTCGATTGCGGCGTCTGTGGGAAAGGAGGCCAGTGGAATCGGTCAAGCAAATGCGTGGAATTTTGGATGAAGAAGGCCACCACTATTCTGTTCTGGTGTATGCAACTTTTGCGGCACTGCAGGTGCTGTTTCAGGTTGCCGGCGCCCATGGAGGGGCATGGAGACTAAGCAAACTGTGGCCCTTGAACGGGTCTTCTTCAGACTCCTCGCGTCTAGCTTGCTGATGGGATGCTTTTTTTTTTCACGCCTTTGCATTTCCTGTGTGCATGGAAAGAACCACAGTGTCCCAATCCTCAGGATGGCAAAAGTAAGCAGCCCAGACAGCCCAGAGGGCTCCCTAATTATAGTATAGAGGACCTTGGAAACGTAGGGTCTTTCTGGTGAGATTGGGCGATATTGGGGGTGCCTGTAAGTTCGTGGCTAACTTGGCGAGGGGATCATTTGCCGCATCTCCAGTGCTCTGAAGGTCGTGCTTCTTTTGTGAGCAAACGATGTTTCGTGGCATTTGGGTCCCTTGCAAGGTGGATGAGATAACTGCGCGACTGCAGTGGTCATTCAACTCCTTTTCCCGAGATGTGGATGGAGTGCGCCGAGTGTTGCGGCCGGGGACGCAAAAGGGGATTATGTCTACAGGGGTTTCTTAAGGATTAGAGAGGCATTGGGGATTTCATTGCCTCAATACTGGAGAAGCAAACGGCGAAGATCATCGAAAGTTAAGTGGAAACTACGACTATTCAGCAGTTTACAAAAGCGGATTGAACACAATTGCTGCGTAATCCTACGTAAGTTAGGATTCTCTGTGTCTAACAATTGGCCACCTTCCTCACGACTCTCCGCGCCCCATGAGGTTCTATGCCAAGTCAGCCGGGACTGCCATAGCTGCGCTTGCACGGCAAGAGCGGCATATTCTATTGTTGGTGGCTCGCCGCCACCCGAACCAAGAGGACTGGGCATTTCCCATGCAGTTCTTCAGCTGGCATGAAAGTAGGGAAGGAAGTTTGGAGAGAGAATTGGTGCTGCCGCCTTTTGCGGCATACGAGTTTGAGTCTGACTTGGAGATTTCAAGCTCGATGCCCAACATCATCCGTGAGGAGAAGATTTCTGCACTAGAGAAAAGATGGGGCCTGCCAGGGAAATTCTTTTCCTCCGAAGTCCCCAGGCTGAAGAAATGGTTAGACGATCCCAGGCAGGAGTTTAAGAAGAATTCCTACAGAACTTCCAAGGAAGGGAGCCTTATCATAACCCTAAACTTTAGAAACCCTAAACTAAAAACCTTTACATCCTAAACGCTAACTCCAAGGTATCCCTAGGATTTTCTGGGCGCCGCAAAATTTCTTAGGAAAGGAGCCTTATCAGCCCTATCATAACTCTAAACCCTAGACCCTAAACCCTAACCCCAAGGTATGACTAGAATTCTCAGGGTGCTAACCCCAGGTCAATGATTTTGCACGACTTGCTTGGTTGCTGGGATGTTACTGGGAATAATTTTCAATTTTCATGGTTTAGGGGTACGTATTTCTTCCCGGCAGAGACATAAACCATCAAAATCCTAAGCCCACAAGACCAACCCCACACCTGAATCCCTAAAAATGAGCGATGGTCTGAACTCCTAGTAAAAGCCTTAATAAGTCCTATAAATGTCCCCCCATAGAAGCCTCCTGTGAGAAGTTTAGACCCTAAACCCTAAATCCTGACCCCTAAGCCTTAACCCTAAATCCTAAACTCTAAACCGTAAGCCCTATATAACCTCGCGTTAGGGAGTTTAAGATTACAGCTCCTATGCCCCAGGCTCTCCGCCCCGACTTACCGTCCGCTTCATCCGAAACATCAGCTTGGCCAAGCCAGTGCAAGACTTGCTAGAATCGACGCTGGGAATACATGAGCTATACTCTAAACCCCTTAGAGTGGGCTATATGCGGGATTATATAGGGGACTAAGATAAAGGTTGTTAAGGGGGATATTAGGAGTTTAGACTATAGCTTACATAAGGGGGCTTAGGGTTGAGGGTTTAAGCTTAAGGTTAAGGGCTTAGGGTTTAGGGAGTCCTGGTTTAAAAGGGTCTTGTGGAATACATAGGGGCGCATGTGGATTATATGGGGATACAGCGCGGATTGCATAGGGATTTTTCAGGGATCATACAGAGATTGCACAGGGATTGTGTTGGGCAAATATCGGGAGTATATACGGATTATACCGGGATTATGAAGGTTATATAAGGGCCTTATGGGGTTTATGCAACGTTATAAACGGATTCTACAGGGTGTAGGGATGTATGCCCCCAAAATGGAGAATCCTGTTGCAAGCAAATCGAAATTGAAATGGACACTATATAGGCTTTATAAGGGAGATTGAAGCCCTAAACCCTAAACCCTAAGCCCTAAACCCTAGAGGCTTAGGCCTGCGGAGCCTAAGCAGTTTAGGTTTCAGTGGTTATGTGTAGGCTTCATAGGGTTTAGTTTAGGGTTTAGGATTTAGGGTTTAGGGTTAGTATTTGCGTTAGGAGCAAGGGTCTAGGTGTAGGCTTGATGGGATTTGAGTTCGGAAGTTTAGAGTAAGGGTTTTGCGTGTGGGATTCGGCTGCATAGGATATGAGTTCTGATGTTTGGAGCAAGGGTTTAGTGAAAAGGCTTCGTAAGATTTGAGCTCTGAAGTTTGGAGCAAGGGTTTAGGGTTAGGTGTAGGCTTGATAGGATTTGAGCTCTGAAGTTTGGAGCGAGTAGCGTGTAGGCTTAGGCTTCATGGGATATGAGTTCTGGAGTTTGGAGCAAGGGTTTATGGGCCCAATCAGCCGGGGGTCTTGGTCTAGGCTTAGGTGAGCTCCTTGGGCTGGTGGTAAGGGCACAAAATTAGTAGCAAAACGTCATGTCAGCCGAAAGGGGGGGCCTTAAACGATTAATCCACTCCCCCCAGCATCAAACACCTTGAAACCTCCAAGCAGAGGCCTTGCAATTTATCACGCTCCAGGATGTGCCCTCGTTGCTTCAAATGCCCACCCGAGCCCTAAACCTGGAGCCCTAAACCCTAAACCCTAAGCCCTAAGCCCTAAACCCTGAACCCTAAACCCTAAACCCCATAGCTGTCCTCGAAAGACCGGCTTGGAGAATCAGACTCAGTTCACAGCGGCCTTGAGAATGGTCCCTTCTCTAACTCTTGGAAAAGCCTAAGCCCCAAACCCTATAGTCCTTAAGTAGATAGAATATAGCATTGGGTATGTTATAAGAAAATCCCCATATACCCTATATTCTATCTACTTAAGGGGCCCTAAACCCTATATAACCCACTATAGTAGTTTCCATTTTCTTTTCCATTATCCCTATATAACCCTACTATAGTCCCCCTAATCTACTTAAGGGGGACGATAAGCCTTAAACCTGTTGTTTGAAGGAAGGCATCCTGCTTGCTTCGTTTTCCACCCTGCTGGCGCGTTGTGGGAGGTGATCAGGGCTCTCGCCTCGCCCCTGCCCAAACCCTAGATATCCCTAAACCCTTAGGGTTTAGGGTTTAGGGTTATCCCAATATAACTCCTAGAGTCCCCCTATGAACCCCCAGTTTCTGTTTCATTGCCCTTTTTCTTTTCCATTTGGCTTTCAATCATTAGGGTTATATCCCTACATGACCCCCAATGCTTGAACCCTACTTGGAGGTTTATGGGAAATAGTAACTACTTATAACTGGGCTTATAACCCTACTTATAAACCCCCTGAAAGGCCTTAAAGGGGTTACCCCAATTATGACTAGGGTTATAGTTTTATAATCCCAGTTATAAATAGTTACTAAGTCCCATGAACCCACAAGTAGCCCCGTAATCCCCTGAAGCTTAAGCCTTCCAACCCTGTAGGTGAGCATACTGGAGGTCTGCTCGTGCGGGATTCTTGGACAAAAAGATGGGCCCCAGGGGACCTTGAGATAGACGGGTTCTGTAGGAGAATTAGGGGTGCCCTTAAGTAATGTATAGGGAGATGGTTGAGAAGCTAGAGAAATAAATACGTTCTTTGTGTTTAGAGCTTCGGGTTTATGAAGTTTTGTGGATGCCGCGTATGGCAAGTTTCGGTGTAAGGTACGGGTTGAGGAATTATGGATTCGCAGCCGGGTTGGCTCAGAATAGGTTCAGGGTTGTGGAAGAACTAAGCATCTTGAATTAGGGCCATAAACCCTAAACCTTAAGCCCCTATGGGTTTGAGGATGCAGCTTGTGGTTTCCAGGGGTTCAGCGTACATCTAGAGCCTTAGTGTCATTTCAGGAGGTAAAGCCCCAAACCCTTAACCCTAAACCCTGTCAACTAGAATAGGGTTAGGGTTTGAGTTTCTGGAGAGGCGAAAAGACATCATGCTGGTGGAGGGAACCCAGTCGAATCGAAACCTAACTGCTGAACCCTAAACCCTAAGCCCTACGCTCAAGATCGGGGCGGCCCTTGGGGACTTTTTGGAATATGTGGTAGCATTATAGGCATCCTTGTTAAGGGTTTTACCCCATGAGTCTTGAGGCCGCGGAAGGGCGTACATGACCCTCAAGTCCCACCTTAATTTCTTCTGAGGTACTCCAGACGGGTCACATGAGCAAACCATTCAAACCGGCCCCATATCAAAACCCATGGTCTACAATGGACACACAAGCCTGGAAACTTTAAACCCGAACTTCAGCAGTAAGTCTTGCATTTGGAAACCGAGGAAGATAAGATTTTGGCAAATTTTGACGACCTCACCAGTCCGCATCCTGAGTGGTGGTTGTATAGAATAGAATGCCAAAATAGCTTTCTTTATTTCAGGCTGCGGAATCAGCAGCTTTTGTCAAAAAAACAAACCTTGCCTGTAACGCCGCCCCTATATATCCTTTTACATGTCCGAGAAAACCTCTATAAAATCTTCTGGGGCTTCTATTGTTGTTTGGTAGGACCCTTCATACTCCGACCTCCTACATAATCTTCGTCAAACACTCTTTGGACTTCCGTGTTTGGGGTAGCGTAACTTCAAGATCTCGTGTGCCTGGACACCACGGGAGCAAGTACCAACAGTTAAGAGTAGTAATAGCCCCCCGATTATTCGGTGTTAACCTCATAAAAGTGGAGGTAATTGGAATAACAGGCACTGTAGCCCTATCTAAGCCAAGTTTCGATTCCATTTCATTCTCATTTTCTCTTCCATTGATTCTCGATATCTTTATTGAGTAATGTCACGAAACCCTAAACTCCAAACCCTAAACTCTGAACCCAAAACCCTAAACTCTGAACCCTAAACCCTAAACTCTGAACCCTGGAGCCTGAATCCCACACCCTGCACGAGCCCGAGAATGGTGCGACTTTAGACACGGCAGAGTTATCCGAGCGGTTGCAACATGGTGTGACCCGGGCCGTCATTTGGGGAGTGGTTAAAATTACGCACTCCGTGTTGCATCATAGTAGGAATCCAACCAGGGACTACAAATTTGACAAGCTACCATTCTAGAGTATTTTTTTTGGGGGTTCTGAAGAGTTTCACGCCCTGGTTTTTTTGGGAGAAGTTTGGGTTTAAATGGTTGAGCGGTTTCGGAGTTTAGGGTTCTTACGCCTTAAGGTTTGCAGGATTTGGGGGTTTGTGGTTTAGGGTTGTCATATAGGGCATATGATTTGCAGGATTCAGGGTTTTCATGGCTTTCCAATTCTGCTTTGGGTAGGTTTAGGATGAATTACCCTTCAACCCTGAATCCCAAATCCCAAGGACACGCATTGCTGGGTTGAGGGTTTGCATTCTGGAAAGCTTTGGGTTTTTAGCGCTTCAAGTGTAGGGCGTGTTTTTTTTGGCAAGGTTGTGATTTCCTTTTTTTGTTTGTATAGAACGTTTTTGAGTTTTGGTGTTTTCGGGCAGTGCGTACATTTTTCGGGTGTTTCGTTGTTACGAGTTTTAGGGATGCTGAGGTTTAGGGTTTCCAGGGTCTGGGGCTAGGGGGGTCAGGGATGCTGAGGTTTTGGATTTAGGTGGTTTTGTGTTGTCAGTAGTTTCCCAAAATCAGGGGGCCCAATCTAGCCCCATAATAATATAATCCTCATCAGAGGTCCTCCAAAAAGGGACCCCTACAATTGGGAAGCACCTTTATTGTCAAGTTCTTGAGGCTTCTGTTTTGGGTTTGAGGTTTTTACTGCTGCTAGGCTTGCTCTTGTTGTGGATGAAGGGTTCTTATCAGGTCCCTAAACCCTACACCCTAAACCCAAACTGTATACCATAAAGCCTAAACCCTAAACCCCAAACCCTAAACCCCAAACCCGAAACCCTAAACCCTGAACCTCAAACCTAAGCCCTAAACCCTAAACACTACACCCTAAATCCTATCAGGGTTTCAGATCACGGCTCATTTTCTCCATGTCAGAGTCGAGGGTTATGTGATCTATAGTCTAAACACCTTCAGGGGGGGTTACATCAGGGATTATTTCCGGGACCGGGACTAGTATAGGGGTTGGTTAAGGGGATACGACGAGTTTGGACTGTAGTTCAGGGTTGGATTTGCAGGATTTGGAGTTTTGAGGGGGCAGGATGTTAGGTGCTTCAGGTGTGTGTTGGTTGTTGAGGTTTTGTTACAATGCCTAGGGCACAGGATGTCCAGAGTCTGTGGTGGAGTGTTTTTCGGGTCCAGGACTATAGTGTTCAGTTTGGAGTGCTAAGGATCTAGGATGTGGGGTTTAGGGTTCGGTTTTGCATGTGGAGATAGTCGAAGTTCAAGGTGTCTAGAGCTTTTGATGTTCAGGTTGTTTTTGAGTTGAGGGTGTTTAGGGTCTTGATGCTTTATGGTGGTTAGGGGTTATTCGAGTGTCAGGAGTTCTTGGAGATTGGGAGTTCCTTCGCTGTGGTCAGAATACGCACGGTTTAGAGTTTACATAGGACTTTGGGGTATTGTTGGTTTTGGATTGAACATGGAAACGAACGGCTTGCAGCTTTGATTTTTTTTCGGTGACTACACGAGGAAATTTTGCATTCTGATCCAGAAGCGCCCAAGGCATTGATTGCAGAGGTGGAAACGAGAGGTTCTCGCATGCACTATCGCAAGCTCGTAGGCGAAGGACCGCAAGAAGGCTGGATAACAAAGTTGCCAAGCAAGAATTAGAAACTCTTTGTATCACTGTTAGGTTTTTCGTCGCAGTGGTAGCCTCCATTTTTACACACACACACATATATATATATACAGGTATATATATATATATCTATATATACACATACACATTTTTGCCCTGATTTTGTCCAAATGCACATTCCCCCTTCCCCATTCCCTATTAAGCACCACGGAATTTAAGTCAAGGAACTCGTGAGGGCGATGCTTAAAGTTGGCAGGCTCATCCCAGGCCCCTAAACCCTAAACCCTAAACCCTAACAGGTTCGTCCAGCAGAGTGGAAAGTTGCTGGTGGTGCGGGAGCGTTGAGCACACGCAGAGTAGCCTCGGGTTGTTGTGCTTCAGCCTAGGTAGGAAAACCTTTCAGTTATAACCAGGTTAACCAAGTTACAAACTACCCCTGTTACTTGAGAAGCTATCACTCAGCTATATCATGACCAAGTGAACCAAGTTACAAACTATTATACCCTCTTACAGCTGCTATTATAGATAAACGTCAGTGCTTCGTAGTGCCTACCTTGGCCCCAAACCTAAACCCTAAATAGTAGTTTCCATTTTCTTTTCCATCATCCCAATAAAACCCCCAATATATACCCTATAATCCCTATACAATCCCCATTATGGTAGTTTCCATTTTATTTTCCATTATTCCCTATGTAGTTCATCAAGGCCAAGTGTAGTGGTCCACCTCTGCACACCTTTTCATGCCCGCAGGTGTTCCAAAAGAGGAGTGCAGGTGGCCATCATGTGTACTTTAGTCAAACTCCTTCAAGGGTGCCATATGGGGGATTACATGGGGGAGTATGATAGGGGTTGCTAAGGGGGATGCCTGGAGTGCAGACTATAGCTCATTTGGCATTGCCAGGTTTGGGGCCGCAGCAACGTATTTGCGCGGTTAAGTGCCACCATAGTAAGCATGGAGAGTTAGTTCAGTATTAAAGCAGTTCAGGCTCGTTCGCAGGCAGAGAAGGCTGTTCCTTCAAGAGGCTGGCGGAATGTCATGTTCTGCTCCAGATGTGCGGATGCAGGAAGGGTTTGGCTGGTAGTCCTCATCCTCACCACTACCGAGGCAAGCATCGCTGTCTTGATTTTTGTTGCACACATTTTTTATGATGAGTACCTCATGAACTTCAAAGTTATCAAGAGAACATGAGGAGGTTGGCCCTTCATCAAGCAGCTGCAGGAAAACCGTGCTGGTGCATATTTGGGGTGCCGATCATTTTTTGATTTCCAAGTACAAAGCAGGTCTCCGCAGTATGCCCGCCTTGAAAGCAACATGCGAAGAGGAAGCTGTCGGTGTTGAAGGCGTGATTTGGAAATGAAGGCATGTGCATTCTTCGCTGGTTTTGCCTGGTCAAGCAGCAGAATGATATTCACATATAAGGCTTTGGCCGCAGTGGCGAAGTTCGAAATCTTTCGGAGCAATCATGCCTGCAATGAAACTTCAATTCCACGCCCAACCTGAAATTGCACACAAGCTTAGAAAACCTTTTCAAAATGCTTGTAGACCTCTGTTTAACTTTTCTGTACGCATTCATAGGATTCCAGATTCACCTTCTGTCTCCCCTTGTAGTACGCCCACCCCAACTCATCAAGTTCTTGAAGCCCTTACCTGCTGCACATTCTACGGCAGCCCATGTGCCCTGCAGCCACCTGCATGAAATTTTATGGATTATGGCCTGAGGTTTGGGTTTGGGTTCCTGAGTTTTCATTATAGGTCATGGGCTTGTAGGTTCCTTTAAGTATTCTGGATACTCTGACAAGTATCGAGGGGAGTTGGTGTGGTGGTTGGGCGGTTGGGTGGTCCATTGGGGGCCTCCTTGTGGGATTGAAGCTCTGTGTCATCAAAACCTCGGTTAGTGTGAGCAAATGGAAGCAGCATCTTCTGGAGTGCGGTTTTATGGAGGGTTATTGCAGGAGGTGTTACAACCATATTTCCTCATGGGATAACACTAGCGACCTAATGGTCCGTAATATGCCTGCCTAGTTGACGCCTCAAATCGTCGCGTCACCAAGCCTCGTTGAGGGTGACTTCTTTCTTTTTTTTTCCTTTCCAGACAAACCACATCCTTGACGATCTGTTCTATCGCTGGCTGGTGTTGGGGTTCTACTGTTAAGATGGAGGGGTTGAGTCCCGAAGAATGGTCGCGTTAGCCGTTGGTGATATGATCCCCCTTCCTTAAAATTGCTCAGGATAGGATGGTATGTAATTAGGTAGTTACTGGATGGCATGTAGTCTCCACTCAAAACGTGACACGAAAAATAGGAAACCTTTCTAGTCCTCTGCGAATATAACTCTCAGAGCAGGACATGGGACCTTGCGTTGACGCTGGACACTTGCAACTGAAGAAATGCCCTTTCCCCATAGAGCTGAGTTATCGAAGCCGACTGCTGCGCAGAATGCAAGGATCCTTTATCTGAGACACTTACTGTACCACGCCATACCACGCCTGTATGCATCCTTGCATGAGCTATAGTCTAAACTCCGTACAGGGGTTAGGGGATTATATAGGGGACTGCTATAGGGGATATTAAGGGGGATGCTCGGAATTTAGACTAGGTCTCGCATGGTGCAGCTGCAGCATCTAAGGAAGTAGTACAGTAGTTTCGAAAGCCGCAGGCACCAGGCAGTGGTTGGATGAGTTCGTATCAACAGTTCTGACGACCAAATTTTCCGGAAGTAGCGGAATTCATAAAACAGCAGTCTTTGCCAAATATATCTATGTAGCCTGTTTGTGGGGTTTCATGATATTTCGGCGGAATGTGCAATTGAGGTTTCTTTCAACTGGGCTATACATCCTGAGTTGAAGATTGTTTCAGCACCCTAAACCCCTAACCATAAAACCCTAAACCCTAAACTTACCACTCCCTTTCTGCCAGGCTCTCCATGTTCCAGAAATATTTCCCGGAGGGCACCACGAGCCTACACCCGAAACCCAAATACGAGGCACGGCTGTGAGGCCTACGGGCACTAAGTTTTCGAAAGGACACCAAAAATGCCAACAGCCCCCAGAGCCCAGAGCCCTGCCTATGATTGTCTACCCATACTTTTGGGGGGAGCTAAGGGGCTAGGGATAGTCTATATCAATATAAAAAGGGGAGCTAAAGAGCCCAAGGATCTCCAAAACCATAGGGGAGCTAAGCCACTGAATCAATAAACCCGAGCCATAAACCAGGTGAGCGTAGTCTTCGAGCTGGTCAAAGCTTTCACCATCGAGGTCTTCGTTGAGTTGCACAAGCAACGTGCTCCGGCTGCCTTGGGCTAAACCTTGCTATCTCCAAGGGTCCAAGTACATTGTAGTTACAGTCATGTTTTACGAATTTCTTTGTCCCAAATCTCAAGCTCAATCTATCATTTTCAATTCTTCTAAACTTACTCGGGTTTGGTAGGGAAGTAATTAGGGAGTATATAGGGATCCATTCCCTTATTCCATACTATCCCCCGTAAAGCCAGACTTCTCTGCAAAAGTTCGCGTGTGCTGAGCTCGCACAGGTGTGGCTTAGGATCATGCAGGCTTTCCGCGGACTAGGCGCCGTGTCCATTCCTGGGCCGCGCTCTGTTGCCACCATCTCTCAAAACACACACTCACGTCTTGCAAATCCTAAGCCCTAAACCCTGGGGTATCATGATGTTGACCTTTCATTAAAGCGCGAGACCGCTCAAGACCCTAGGATCCTGAATGCGATCTATGGCATGCAGCTGATTGGAACTTGCAATTCTCCTGTTCCAGACCCTTCCTTAGTTACTCTTAAGGCTCCAAGTACGTTGTTTTTCCATGTCTGCGAAAGCTGTACTATGACTTCTTTTACCCAATTCCCATGTACCCACTTGTTGGGTGCTTCCACATTTTTCCTCAACCCTACACCCTACACGCTGAACTCCGAACCCGACACGATATCGCAAGTTGCATTTTCTTCTCCATTCCTTCATTACTTGCGTACTAACCACCCTAAGCCCAACCCTCCCTCATGTGTACATAAGAAATAAAGACACTAAACCCCAAGTACCATGAACCTTGGGACCCTAAACCCTAAACCCTAAGCCTTAAGTACCTTGAACCTTGGGACCCTAAACTTTAAACCCTAACACGGTTTAGGGTTTAGGGTTTAGGCCTATGTATCCTGAACCTTGGGAATCGTTGTACTCTAGCATAGTAAGGTCATGAGGCAGTTGTAGCATCGCAGGACGTAGAGCATGTTTCTGCCGAAGCCCAGCTTGTTGGTAGGACCTTCCTACTGTACAACATGGGCTACGGAGTGTATGGGGTCCCTAAAATAAGAAGGCTCTGGCATGTTGCTCGAAGGTTCACAGGGGTTCAGAAGTCGTGGTATGAGTACGAGAACTATGCTCTAAACTGGTCTTGCTGTGTCTACGATCCGACCTATCACTTTCATCTGGAAATCTCCCTACGTGTCCCCATGTTGCGCCAAGTATTTCGTACACAGCCGTTCCAACTCCACTCCACTCCTTGTACTGATTGCATTGGGGTTATATGGGGTTTATATGGGAAAATCAAATGGAAACAACTATTTAGGGCTTAGGGTGCTTAGGGGCTATATTGGGTATACATAGGGATACTGGAAAAGAAAATGGAAACTACTATGCCAAGGGAACGAGCCCGTCAAGGAGTTTGCAGCTTTGGAGGCAGTTGAGAATGAAGTGCGATCAAGAGGACCTACCGTGGAGTCCTGAACTATGATACGCAATATTAGCCTCGTCTTGCTTTGTGTATAAGGAGTTTACATTGAAAACAGTGGCAACTATTCCGGCATGTACATTAAGCACCCTATGAACCCCATATAGCCCCGTTTTTATATCATATTCCAGTTGTTCTTTTCCATATTTGGTTCCAGGGTTCCCTGACATACCCTACATAGCCCCGTGGACTCCACTATGAACCGCTCCCCTCGCTCAAGCCACTGAACCCGAAGTTGTGGCGTGGAAAGTTCACGCATGGGATTGTTTCAAATATGAGCCTCCATGGTAGTACTCATACGGGCTTGTTGCAAATATTTGCCCCCATGGTGGTACTACCAATTGTAATATACTCACAATGACAAACTTGGTCGTAAGAAACATGTCCCCGCGGTCCTGCAAAAGCAGTAGCCAAGTTTCCAGTATGGAAACTGTTCAACACTTTCATTTAGCTTAAGGTCTTGTCTCTGATTTGTGTGGGCCTATTTGGTGATCTGTACTTCTGACTCCAGTCTTGCTATTGTGATTGTTACGTTGGTTGGTAGTACTCGTTTTGTTGATTTTAATTCAGTTGGCTCATGTCGTTGTCAGTCGCTTCGCGATTGACAGACGT